AGTCATCACAAAACATAGAAGCATACAAAGCACACGTGGATGCTAAAACTGTACATAAATCATTAATTCAAACGAACTTGAGTATCGCATTGTCTGCTTCTGCAAATGCAAATCCATCGAATGGAGTGGTTGCTGATGAAAGGGAATCTTCCATTTCTTCCTTTCATCAGGGGTGTAGGCCTCGCCATCTTTTCCAGAGACCCCCAAGTTCCATTCTTTCTGCTGGGTTGGAAACAAACTCTAGCACGATTTCACAGTTACGCGTTGCAAGACCACCTGTTGAAGGACGGGTTAAGAATCAGTTGCTACCTCGTTATTGGCCTCGAATAACAGACAAGGAGTTGCAACAAATATCCGGAGAGTATCCGTAATTAAATTGTTTTAGTAGTTACCTATCATTTGATGCTTATTATGTTTAATATAATTGCTTATCTAAACACTTTCCCACAATTTCCTTAATTTTGTCATCTTCAAGCTCAAATTCTACCATTGTGCCGTTATTTGAAAAGGTTTTGAGTGCCAGTGATGCTGGGCGAATAGGTCGTCTAGTCCTTCCTAAAGCATGTGCTGAAGTAAGTTTGTTATTGGCGACAATAGAGATGCACACTAATATTACATTATTGCACCAACCTCTCCAAACTTCCCAAGCTGGTTGATTGTTTGATTTTAGCTTTCTTATGAGATCAGTCCAACTCGTTGTTCAGGCATATTTTCCGCCAATCTCTCAACCAGAGGGCCTTCCTCTGAGGATTCAGGATGTGAAGGGCAAAGAATGGGTATTCCAGTTTAGATTTTGGCCTAATAATAATAGCAGAATGTATGTTTTAGAGGGTGTAACTCCTTGCATCCAGTCAATGCAATTACAGGCTGGTGATACAGGTATCTTTCTATGCCCTTTCCTTTGGATAATACCTGATTTCATTGATCTGTCTTTTATAAAGTTATAGCATTGCTATACTCAATCATCAGTCTTCATAGTCCACTAGTTCTTCACTTCCTGATATATAACTTAGCTACTTGATGTCTAGGGTTTAACTTCTTTTTCTGATGGTCGCTTTAAAGAAGTCCATTGCATTTATTTGATCATCAATAATCATCACTATCTTAAACTCAACCACTTCGTTCTCCGACAAGTTTTGTTACCGGGTTTCTTATGAAAGCCTATATTATTTTCCAATGTCTCTGAGTACCTGATATCTAGTTCTAATTGTTGGGTTATTAATTGCTGAATCGTTAGAGTTGGACTTGGTTGGTACAATGTTTATATTGTACTCCTAAGCCCAGGGATAGATTCCCTGAAACATAGCAAAGATCAATCAACAAATTCGTAGAGATGCCTTACTTTGTCATAATTCCAAAATCCCTTCTTTAGTCCTCTTTAACCTCTGTGGTTTCTTCTTCCATTTATTCCTTCATTCCTCTTTAACATTTGGTGCTGGCTCTTTTACGGACTCTGCTAATAGTGCAGTGTAATGAAAAATAAAAAAAGGGCAAAGAGAAAAAGGTGGAAATGGGGACTCTGTAGCCTTTTCTTGCCTTCATTTCTATGGATTCTTTCTGTCTTTATTGCAAACACCTGATCATTGGCTCAAGTTGTTGAGTTGGAAAATCCATTTACCGAAAACATGGTGTAAATAAATGAACTATTTTTAGTATGATTGAATTGGACATTGCTGTCTAGCTTCTTCCATCAAGTACGCTGTTGGTTATCTATAACCAGAATTGGGACTGGTTGGTTGAGATTGGTGCATGCTCGAGAGTATGCACTATTTCCTCATAATTGAGTGAATGAGGAGGGCATTGCTGTGGAAGAAAGTTGAAGATATTAGAGCACACTATTTCCTGGGTTTGACCACATTTCTGGTTTACCATTTTCCTTGTACTAGACAGATAAAGTTGTCTTGCGGGAAAATTTTGGATCAATTCAAACATATTGATGACTTTTTTAAATTTGCTTTATAATAAATGCCCTTTCGTTGGCTGAACCTTTTTTGGTTTCACATGTGTTAACATGTATAATGAGTTTAACGGCAGTAGTCAAAGTATTCAAATATTGAACTGCTTTTTACATATATTTTTTGGTATGTCCATTCTTGTAATCACTCTCTAAGTTAATTACTGAGTCTCTCATCTCTTTGAAACGTTGTTTCCTTCCAGTAACTTTTAGTCGCATGGATCCAGAAGGAAAACTTCTGATGGGGTTTCGCAAAGCATCAAGCACTATTTCTGTGCAGGTAGTCTAATTGTCTGCAGGAGACATTTTTTCATACTAGATTAGTTTCTCTCTGTGTTTTTACGTATGCATGAAATATGTAAATTTCACGATGTTTTGCTTTACTTGGGGAATGCTGATATTGCTGTTATTCACTAAGCAGGATTCACATCTATCCGCCTTATATGGTGGTGTGTTACAAAATGAACCACTCTTGGCGTCTGCAGAGAATCTACCTGTAATGAGTGGCTACTCTGGAATTCTTCAGTCACTGAAAGGAAGCAGGAATTCTTCTATTAACATGCCATCTAAACATTTTTATGGTGGTAATTTAAGCCCACTAATGTCTGAGAAGAATGGGTCCAAATCTGGAGATGGTATGCTTCCCCAGTCATTGCCGCTTCCTGAACGCAAAAGAAGCCGAAATATTAGCTCAAAGAGTAAGAGACTACACATTGATAGTCAAGATGCTTTGGAGCTGAAACTGTCGTGGGAAGAAGTACAGGATATGCTCCGCCCCCCTCTCAGTGTCAAGCCAAGCACTGTCACAATCGAGGATCATGAATTCGAAGAATTTGAAGTAAGAAACATTTAGAAAATTTCTTCTGTCAATTTATTGTTTCTTTATTACTGCATTGAAAAGGATTTCCTGTATGTATTACTAAGAATCTTTGGTTTTGGTTTGACATTTATCTTTGCTATTAGGAACCGCCAGTTTTTGGGAAGATGGGTATTTTTACTGTCCGCGTATCTGGGTAAGATAAGAAATTCATAAAACATATGTAGTTTCTATTCCTTTATGGACTTAACTCCACTATAGTCCTATATCATTATAATTTGACTCGATGTACGCTCGCAGACATTCAGTATTTTTGCCTCATTCGACGAGCCATCTTTGAATCTAATTTATACTTAACAGTTGCAAAAATCCAGGAGTTCACCACTACCTACAATTATTTATATTTTCTTCCATTATTTTGGGGCTTACTGAATGACCTTTTGAATAACTTTATCCAGGGATGAGCAGGAGCAGTGGGCTCAGTGCGATAGCTGCTTTAAATGGCGAAGACTTCCTGTTGATATTCTTCTCCCTCCTAAGTGGACATGTCAGGACAATGTTTGGGATCAAACAAGGTTGGTTGTGTTTTTCAACCTTAACCATTTCTTGCCGGATAAGGTGGAAAAAGGTTTTTCTACATGTGACGAGTACTTTTTGAAAGAGAAAAAGTTTTGAAGTGAATAATGCTGTTTTTCTATCAGATGCTCGTGTTCTGCACCAGATGAATTGGGGGCCAGGGAGCTTGAGAATCTTCTTAAAATGAACAGCGGTACGGTTATTCTGTCCATATTCTAAGTTAAGGATGGTATCTGCCATGTTGGAATATGCTTCTCGTTTTTTCCTCAAAGTGCAGGATATGTTAATGTCTGTAGCAGATGGTTTGGAGCCAGGACATCAGAGTTGACATTATTATGAATAGTTGATTAGGAACTTCAGTAGATTCTGAAGAGAATTATATGTCCATTTATGGTAATAATAACATCATTTATACTCGTGAAGACGAACTTGGTCATCTCATTCATATTCATCTAAAAATGAATGAGCAGTGTTTTTGGTGGTCTCTGGTCCCTGGTCTCCGTTAGTGCTTCACCAGAAGTTATCTATCATTTATTAGGACATGTAATCATGCCTGTTATTTTGAAGTACAATGAAAATGAATTGACTTGTTTATTCGCTAAACTTGTTTTAAGGTGTATTATCTGAACTCTTTTGACTGAGCGTATTGCATTTGATTAATCTTAAAATACTTAGATCACTGCTTATTTCTCTTCCATAGAGCTTAAAAAAAGGAGATTTGCAACAAGCCACAGATCGGCAGAGGCTTGTGAATCTGCAGTCCAAGAAGCTCTGGTGAATGCTGCATCTGTTGGAGGTGACATGAGCGAGCCAGGCGCTTCATCTGTTGCAACGACTACCAAACATCCTAGACATCGTCCCGGCTGTTCCTGCATTGTGTGCATACAGCCTCCCAGTGGGAAGGGTAAACACAAGCCAACATGCGTATGCAACGTATGCATGACGGTCAAGCGACGCTTTAAGACCCTGATGATGCGCAAGAAGAAACGTCAATCAGAGCGTGAAGCAGAAATTGCATCGAAGAATCAGTTTGTGTTGGGTCCCAAGGAGGAAGCAGAGGTGGAAAGCGTCCCGAGTCAATCTGATAATGAAAAAAGATCGGGAAGTGAGTTGTTTTTCCGATGCCAGGACAACAGTCAATCTCAAGAAAATGCTGAAATGCACAAGGGAGGATTGGACTTAAATTGTTGTCCAGATAGAGAAAATGTACATACAGGGTCGTTGCGTGTAAGCATGATGAGTCTTCTTCAGGAAGCTAGTTTGCCTTTGGATACATATTTAAGGCAGAATGGTCTTACAAGCTTGGCTTCCGTCCGAATGGGTTCTCCCCGGGCCCCTGAAGAGAGTGAAACTCGACTGCAAGAAGAGTCAGTCCCTGCTGCTGTTGTTCAGGAGGATCAAGATGGTAATGACGAACTCTCTGAGTCTGATCGAAGTGAAAACGATACCTCGTGATATTTTTTTCCTTTTTGACTGTTTTCAATCTTTATTTTCTGGCCTGGTCGAGTAGAAATTTCTTAATAAATGTGATATTTCAAGTTTTTGGTCATCTCTCTCGGTCTAGAATAGTGTGTAAATCTACGTGNCATTATATACTATATACATGGAATGGCCACCAAAAAGGATGTACCGCCAGCATATTGGACAGGTAGAAACTAGCAAACCCAAGACAATTAACTTTATTTATATAACATCAACCATCGAGCCAAACCACAGCTTTATCCTTCCTATGTCATGTAAGTTCACTATGCAAAACTATTAAAATATAAAAATAAAATGGCGTCTATGGACAATTAGAATCCTTCGACACTAGACCTTCGAACGGTTGAGGACGATGATCTCCTGCTTTCTTGTACATCAATATTCTCGGCTGACAGGGTAGACGAACATGTTTTGGGGGCAAAAGATACAGGCAATAGAGCCAACTTTGTGGACGAAATAGATGGTCCACTTGTTGGAGGTGGAGGAGAGAACTTGGACTTGGGAGCTGGCGTAATGATCCCGTTCATGCTGGGTGACCTCGACACACGTTTTCCACTAACTGCTCCTGGCTCTTGCAATGGAAACCGAGAGGTATACTTTATGTCTTGTACGGTTTTAAGATGCTCCACAATAGTTCTCATGGTGGGCCTCTCAGATGGATCCATTTGAAGGCATCGTTGCGCAATATCAGCCACTGCCCGAGCTGCTTTGGCAGGGAAACGACCCTTTAGCTGAGGATCCATGATCAGGGACAGTCTAGAGTCATCAGCCAAAAAAGGCCGACTCCACTTAACTAAATTCCTCTCTTCCTTTGGGTGCCGGCTGTCAAAATTTTTCCTGCCAGTGAGCAATTCAAGGAGCACAATTCCTAAACTCCAAACATTGCTCTTTGGTGTAAGCAATCCTTTCTCCAATGTCTCCATCGAAAGATTTGCCACACCCTGCACAAATGATGCAGGAAGACGATGATAGAATTAGATAACAAACTAGTCACTACAGCCAAAACCAACGAAAAAATGAGCACTTACAACAGAACAGCTAGAAATATCTGTCTCTTGAATGTGGCTAATGCAACCATATCCAGAAAGCTTTGCGCTAAAATCTTTGTCAATCTGTATATTGGAAGTTGAAAACTCATGGAACATAGCCTGTACAGCGGCAGCATTTAGTAACCACAGAGAACCCAAACAAAAGAGATAGTGGGTTTGCATTGTGATCGAGACACTGTATTTATGTATCAGAGGAATGGGTTTTACCTGGAAGGGTCCTTCCTCATGCAAGAAGGTTAAACCCTGAGCAGCACACAAAGCAGCTTTCATTCTGCTATTCCAATCAATAGGTGGACCATCCAATCTTCCATACAAAAGCCTGTCTAAGCTTCCATGGAATAGCCTCTCATATACCAACATCCTAAGGTCTGATCCTTCACGTGCATGAAAACCAATCAACTTACAGAGGAAGGGATGTTGTAAGGAAGCAAGTGTACTCGCATCATTCATGAATTCCTTTAAACCCTGCAGAGTAAAATAAATTGTCATACTAGTGAAAAAAGGAATGAGTTCGCCAAATGTCTTAAAAACAAAAGCACGTTTCGTCTAGGCAGAAAAAGATTAATCAATTGAATATCTTCACATCAATGAATCTAACATTACCTGGGTGGAGTGGTGAAGGCGAGTTACAGTGGCTTCGAGCTTCTTCGGGCCAGACGTAACATTTGCAAACGATGCTCGGTAGATTACTGATGACATACCTTCAGACATGCATCGCTCAGGAGAGAAGTTGTGGCAAGCAGATGCAATTTCTTCATAAGAAAAGTTAAGAAGCATTCCTACAGAAGGCAGTGTGGGAGGCAACACTGGAGGCAGAGGAAGTGGTCCAGACGCATAAAGAGGGCCACTTGTGTTTACCGTTTTAAAGCTTCCCATGGCTTTTAGAGAAGTACTAACATGAGGGGATGGAAGAGGAAGAGGTTGAGGACTTGGGGAATGATATTCCTTCATCAATCCAACACGACTCTTATGTTCNCTAACATGAGGGGATGGAAGAGGAAGAGGTTGAGGACTTGGGGAATGATATTCCTTCATCAATCCAACACGACTCTTATGTTCGTCCTGTTCCTCAAATTCAGTGGATACAAATGCATCGTGTTCTACAGCATCAAGACTTGATGGGGCAGATAATGCTCGTGCCCTAGAACTACTTACTCCATTATTTGACTGAATAGATTTAACTCTGGTTCTAAAACTTGAAGGTGCAGATTGCAAAGAACGAGTACAGGCTGGGGGTTCAGGCAACTTAGTTGGGGATTGTTCTTGTGGGTTGACACGTTTGATGTAAATGGTCTGCTCTTTCTTCTTCTTACACTTTAAAACCGTAAAGCATCCCATGTTGCAAACAAAAAGCTTTAGATTCCAGACAAGTATAATACGTTCCTGCCACGCGAAAAAGAAGAAATGCATATGACTATACCGCAAACCTTCATACCCAAATAACGACAGAAAACTGTACGATTCAATGCTCTAAAAATGCATACATTTGATTTTGGTTCCAAACTGAAAAGGCATTTCTGGCACCCAGATGAATTAATTTTCCAAGCAAATAATTTTTAATCTAGAATTATCCGCCAACAAATCCCTAAATCTATCGGGAAAGTAACAATTCATGGTATTTCAGATTTTTTCAATGTAAATTACAAATATAACAGCACTTAATTAAAAAAATAAACAGCCCGAATATCATTCCGTAAAATAAACAGGATTGAACATGACGAAACCGAGAAACACATTCGCAAAAAGATGATGCAGAACAAACCTGTGGATGCAATTTCACAGAATTTTGAACTGTTCTTCAATAAAGATTGAATCTTTACAGAATTTCACCTACTACAGAGATGCCCAGGTGGTAAAATTTGCAATCTTTATAATTATGAGACTCAATTTTGGTGAATTAGAAAAACCCTAAAGAAATTTAAAGGCAACGCAGAGGGGAAGATTTTTGGGAGAAAAAGACGAGTTGTTGAATAGTTAAGAAGTGTAGATCATTAAGACGGGGACAATAAAGAGTGGTCAAACCAATCAAAATCCCATCTTCAATTCTCAGTTAAGAAAATGGAATATAATTAATGTCGTCACATTACATTTACGGCAGCATCAATTTCCTTGTGACAACGTTTGACCATAAACCTCTAATTAGAGGTGTAGATTCCTAACCCTACCCTTGACGGCCCGTAGAATCCACCGTCTTTACCTCTAATTAGAGGTGTAGATCCCTAATCCTACCCTTGACGGCCCGTAGAGTCCACCGTCTTTTAGGTGTGACTCTACAAACTCGCAACTCATACTTCATGTTTGCAAGAACTCATAATCTTCTTAATAGAAATAAAATTAAATATTAAGGTTTGTTCAGTAATGATTATAAAAATTGATTTTTTAGTCGTTAAAAAGAAAAGTAGATCCTACATATGAATGAAGAAGTCAAAAGTGACAGTTGGAATAGTAAAAAAAGGTCCAAAAAATTAATTTTTTAGGGTGAAAATTTGCTACCAAACATGAACTTGATCTTAGTTATACATTCACATTTATTACTATTAATTATTCATACATTTTGTAGTTCATTTAATATTTTTATTGTAATCTCAAGTAGATTATTATAATTGGTTTAAATTATAAATAAATAGAGATGAATGACGTATGAGTGGGTAATATTTATGAAAATTACAAAATATATTGATAAAAAGTATTTTTTTTGTCCCATAACAATAAACTTGCTTTTATTTTCACACAAATTAAGAAAATGTAATTATTATAATTGAAAATATATATTTTACTTATATTTTTTCTAATACATCCCTACATTAGGAGTGTAAGTGATAAGCGTATTTTATACACTTATTCGGGGATCTAAAATAACGATATTTGATAGTCTTTTGACAAAATACATTCTAAATTATTGTATTTTACGTTTAATAGGTGAAACTCTACGAATAAAAATGAATGAAAGGAAAGAAGCAAAAAGGGCCTCAATTGGACATGCCTTGGAATTCAACTTTAATACTTAATTGGACTTCCAATTGGGTTACAACTAAAAGGGCTGCATAGGGCTGAATTTATATATATTCTTGCACAGAAAAAGACGACGGACGGGGAGAGATACAAGTTGCTGGTCGCACGGCAGAATTGGAGAAGAAAGAAGCAGCCAATTAATATTTAGACTCACGCACAAAGAAAACGTCACCAACTAGGAGGAACAATAATTATATACACGCAGCTGCAATATTATATATTTACACAAACATTGGGCGGTGACATGAGGGATTGTTCGGCACAAACACGGAAGTAGATATATACACATACGCCTACAGATTCATGAGGGTTGTTGCCGGCTGGTCTCATTAAAAAATTATACACACAAGAAGACACTTTGGCAGCAAACATAAAACACATACACGCATAGCAAAGGCCAGATTTGAAAATTGAATTGGAGGCTGTTTTTGGAGGGTTGATTTTGGCTGAATTTTGGCTGAAATATAACACATTGGCAGGAACCTTTTAGGAAGAAAAAGATACAAAAAGGAGGCAACCCATTGGAATAAAAAGAGAAAGACAGAGATTTACTTTGGAAATTATTCACGTTTCGTAAATTTCTCGATGATGTCCTTCCAATTTTATGTGTTTAATTTCAACATCATGTTAGACTAATTTTTCTCATGTATTGGATGACGATGAAACCCGTTATTATTTATTTTTAATTCAAGACATGTGGTTTAGTTAAGTTCTTGCAATTGTTGATTAATCTTACATGCTTAATTTTATTAATTGATTGCCTGATCACCAATTAAATATATAGTTGCTTGTTGTAGTGTTGGGAGGTTCACAATAAGTTTAGAACATTGCATGATTAACATATGTGCAATAAATTTTAGAAATAAAATTTATCACGTGTGCAATCTTTGAAATAATTGTGAAATTGAATGCGTTCTATTCATATGAATTCGGACTAGGGATAGGATTGGATCGTGAATAGGATAGATTTAATTTGTCTTGGAAAGGAAAACTAATTACAAAACGTAGTTGAGAATTGGAATGGATAATAATAGGTGGATTCGTAATCCAACACATTCGTCCCATATACATTTTAAATTCGCATTTTATACATTTTCATAGATTTCACAAAAATCACTTTTGATTTGTTTGCTTTGAATCTAATTAAAAACTAATACACTAAGTTAAATTTTATTTCTCGTGGAACAATACTCTCAACTCATCAAATCTATTACTTGTCAACGATCTCGTACACTTGCGAGTTTCACACGAACAGTAAGTGGTTCGATTTTATCGATTTTTGACAGATTTTTAAACAAATTGTTTAAATCGGTTTGAGAAAACTCCAAAATAAATTAAACCAGTTTGACGATTTTGAAAAAAAAAATAAAAAATAAAATTCGAACTTAAACCTAACGGTTTGATCCAGTTTTAAACCGTCGATTTCATCATATATTTTTTTGCTTGTATACTTTTATGTCATTAATTCATTGAATTCAATATATATTTATATCTTACTAGCAATAAATTTAAAATAAACTAAGCCCATGTTTGAACAAATTTTTTGGGAAAAATAAAAATTTGGACCATTATTCCATAAGTCCAGCCGCCTTTGTTGACCTGCCGTTTCATGTGTGGGATCCAACTTCCTCTCCAACGTCAATTTTCTCATTATAATGATATGGAAAATATGGATCAAACAGGAATTAAATATATCTACTATAAATTTAAATACTAACTAAATCAAAGAGAAATCACAATAAATTAAAACATAGTTTTTTCATTTTTGTTCACCTTTTTTAGGCTAATGATGATACAATAACGTTATAATACAAATCTACTAAACTAGAGAGTAAGCAACCACAATAATAAAGCAATTGTTTATAATATCTAAATATAACAATTATATAAGTTTACGTTTGTATAATGTTACGAAACGCATCTAATTTCAAATTCTTACCTTAGTTTGCTCTAAAAAAATTATTGATTTAAAACTTTATTCGTAGCAAATATTATCACCAAAGATTTAGGATCTCTTTGTCTCCAATTTGATATAACGGATTTCAATTCAATTTTGAAGAGACGTGAAAAATCTGAAAAAGAAGTGTATGGTGCCGGTGGCTCAAGACTGTGTTACATGTCGACTGAAATTCATCTAAATTCTAAAGAGGAAAATAGCTTTTGATAGATTATGTTAGTCTTGAGATTATTAGATATAAATTAGAATTATTAAATAATAATAATATATCTGTATTAAAAAATTATAAATTGACAAAAATACCCACAGATAACAAAACTATTGAATTTTACATATTTGGATGAATTTTCAAAAAAAAATCATTATTTCATTTTTTTTATTTTTCTATATTTTTTAACCGATCCAATTTGGTTTTAAATCGCAATTAAAATTCTCAAAGTTAAATCAAACCATTTTGACTGACTTGGTTTGGTTCAAAACTATTTCGT